AGTTTACACTGTGTGTTTACACTGTGAGTTTACACTGTGAGTTTACACTGTGTGTTTACACTGAGTTTACACTGTGTGTTTACACTGTGTGTTGACTTGATATCAGTGATTTTTTTCACTCAGTTAAAACGGTTCACAGCAGTCAGATACGACCGTTTCATTCAAATAATGTAGTGTTCTTGTATTAAAATTATATATTTAATAACTAAATTGATAGTAATAAAAGGTTTCTATTATAGAATTTCTGGGACCATTTGAATATTTCTGTTAATGCGTTGATTTGGTCTTAAATGTCGTTACTAATGGTCTTAAAGGTCTTTAAAAGGATTTAAGTTTAACTTACTGAAACCTGCATAAACCCTGTTTAATGTGGTATTTTCTTTTTCCAGCACAGGAACTGTGTGAATTTAAACTTTCTTTAATTTGAATATACTGTTATTGACCTTCATTCAATAAATACAAATAAAATAAAAATCAAAGTGGGCAGTTATTTGTGAAACCCACAAACATTTGTGATTTTTATCTTTTAGAATGCCAATATATGATGTAAATTTCTAAAACTGATGTTAAAACATTTTAAGCAGCAGTTTTATAAAATTATCAGTTACTGAGCAGTTTGGACCTAGTCCACACGATAATAGTTTTATTTATTTAACAGCTAAATGCTTTGTTTTAAGTTATCAAACTAGAAACAAATACAGCCACCTACATGACCACCATCCTCCTCCCAGTCACGTTCTCCAGATGTAGGTTCCAGTGAGGATGAGGATGATGATGATGCAGCAGAAAATAAATGTCAGTTTCTGACACTTGGCTGAATTTGCTTGAAGATGATTTTTCTTTTCTCTCTTTTTGTCCTCCTCCCTTATGTTCATTCTCCATTTTTGCTCTTCTTACTTTTATTATTCCTTTTCTTCTTCAGCAAACTTTTCTTCTTCTCTTTGTTGTTGGTTGGTAAACAATGAATTGGTGCATTATCCCCATCTACTGGTATTGAGTGCAACTACACAACTTTTTTTTCCTCGCTGTCTGCACCGGCCCAGTGATGCCCCGACCCACCGGGAAACGTCCCGGTACTCCCAATGGCCAGTCTGCCCCTGCTGCTGATACCTTGTTTGTAAAATTGTTTGTTTTATAGCAAATTTATTGGCAGTTAAGGTCCCTGTACCCCTAATTTTGATGGTCACTTTAGAAAAGGGATGTGGTCACGAAGGGGTCCCTGGGGGGCAGTGAGACCCAAAATTTTTTCTGTTAACATGCATTTTCTGAAAGAATGGACTCTAGGTGCACGGTGAGCCACCCTAGCCCTTGGACTATAATTAACACTCATTTCTGCCAAACGGTTCACTTTTTAATTGGTTCAAAACAGCCTTTAATGAACAGTGACTTTAAAGGGACTTTTTTCCTACAGGTTTGCAGTAATAAAAGCTAAAATAAAAGTAGATCATCACACAGTCGCCTCTGTGAGCTCCTTCAGCTCGTCTCTGGTTGATGCTGGCTCGTATTTTTCTGCAAAATACAAATTTAGTGAAGGAAAAAAATTAATTTTATCAGACAAACCTTTAAAGTTTCTGTGACATGTCTATCCTTCAAATACAAAAAGTCAAAAACCATCTTTATACTTAAAATTGGCATAGTACACATGATTTTACCCATTTTTGTTTCATAACTGGCTTATTTTCGTTTGAATTGGGCTCATAAGTGAAACAGGAAGTGACATTAAAGGGGAACTCAATAAAATAAACTCGCTTGTCTGTTTATTAAAGCAGCATTGTTTAAACTTTAACTCTTCATCTCTTTGATAGAAACTAAAATAATGTAAAGAAACATCAGATTCTTCTCTACAGTCTGTTGTTGGCTTAAAAACATCACTCTGTTTACATTCAGACTTTCCCCTCTGACATCACTTCCTGTTTCTTCACATGCAAATATCTCAACAACTGTTCATCTCAGTGACGTGAAATTAGTTTTACAACATGTTAACAATGTTCTCTTTCCAAAAATACATTTATGTTTATTACAAAAAATGATGTCACYGACCCTTTAAAGTCTCATATTTAAGTATAATTATCAACTTGTTTGACCAGTTGGCGTTAAAATGTAATGAGCTTTTGTTTAAATGTTTGATCTGGTCTGAAAAGACCCCAAGGTGGAATCCAGGTGTAGAGGCGGCTGCTGTGGGTCTCACCTTCCTGTTTCCTGCTGAAACACCTGTAACACCTGAACAGGATGATGATTAGCCCCGCCTCCATCAGCTGGAAGGACACGTAGACGGTGGGGAAAATGAACAACGAGCCCATCTCTGCTGGCGGGAAGCCTAGCTTCAGAATGGCGGTGCACAGCTGGACGTTCTGACAGCCTGTTTCCATAGCAACGGTCCTTCGCTCCCTGGGGGCGCAGGAAGGGGGTGGGGCTTGTATGTAAAGCCACGAATATGAGTGCAGAAAAGCTCCGCCTCCCCCGCCTGACTTACGAATGGCTGAGCCTGCAGAGCGAGGAGATGATGTAGCCGAAGGTGAAGCCGATGAAGGGCATGAGGGCTGCGATGACCATGAGGGGCGGAGCCAGCACCGTCAGGATGAACACTCCGGAGTCCACGCTGGTTATGATCGCCACCGTGATGGCGGAGATCATCGTTATACTGAGACCTACCTGTGAACAGCTCAGGGATTACACCTGCTGCACTAACCAGACTAACAAATCAGGACAGATTAGATTAGTTACACTATCTGATTAAGTTTTATTAATCTAATAATACAAATGTTTAATGGTCAGGGATTTAATGGAGGAACAATATTTTAAATGACTGAACTGAAGCCATTTTGGTTAAACCTTGAAAATAAAATCAGTGTGGAGGTATGGCAGGTCGTTTTAACATAAAACACTTCGTCTGGCCATCTGTAATTACATTCTATATCTAAAAATGAGTTTTAATCAGGAACAGTTACATTTTGACCATCCTGAGACGTAATTTAAGGTGTTTACATTCTGACTGAAAAACAATTCAAGATATTTTCAGTTACATTTTGATACTTTTTACGATAAATCAAATGTCACCGGATTTGTCATTTAAAGGGCCACACACCTGTAATTAACTACAGCTGTGTCCAAAACAGGCTGGGTCCTCCAGAGGCCGAATTTGTCGGCTGCATACYTCACAGCGCCGCGACGAAGGACGTCCCAAACCGAAGACTCCTCCAATATGGCCGACAAATACGTCCTTCCTTTTCCCCGATTTGAAGGACAGGTCTGATGGATCCTTCCCGGTCCAGCATATCCCATAATGCATTGCTGCCCGACCGGAAATTTTTTTAAGCTACTAATGGTGGACGAAGCGAGAGAAAGAATACATTTTAAATAAAAATATGGTGATATAAAAATTAAAATTTTTAGTGGTTGTAATTCTAATAGGCTGTGTACAAAACGACAGGCCGGGTCCTCCGGAGGACCCAGACTCCCTGGTCGAGGTGAGCCGGGTCCTTGGTAGACCAGGAAGACCGGAAAAAAAGTCTGTGAATTTGGACGGTCTAGCCTCCCCTCCACCCCGGAGTACGTCATGTCACCTAGCAACTGTGACGACGCTAAACAGAAGCAAAAATAGATTAAATTAGAAAAATATCAATACATTAGCATTATTAATATCACAAAACAATAAAATTAACTTAAAGGTAACATTTGAAGAACTAATTGACCCGCTGTAGGTGCATGTTTATTT